GGAATAACATACACACTCAACTGGGTTTGGAAATCTGTCCTACCCTACAGGAAAATAGGGGGGAAAAGGGACAAGAGAGTAAGGGGATGATAGAGAGGAGAGAAGATTGGGAAAGGGGGTAATTGGAAACAAATACTTCTGAGGACGGACAGGGTCAAAAGAAAGAATAGAATAAATGGGGGGCAGGATAGGATTAAGGGAAATAGAGTTAGTTTTTCACAGCATGTCTACTATGGAAGTGTTTTGCATAACTGCACATGTATAACCTATATTGAGTTGCTTACCTTTTCAATGACGGTGGGTGAGGAGGGAGGAAGGGAGAAAATTTGGAACCCAAAGTTTTAAAAACACATGTTTAAAAAAAAAGTTTTCACATGCAACTGGGAAATAAGAAATACAGGAAATGGGGTACAGAAATCTATCCTGCCCTACAGGAAAATAGAAGGGGAAGGGGATAAGAGAAGGGGGGGAGAGACAGAAGGGAAGGCAGACTAGGGGAAGGGATATTCAGAATGCATGCCATCTTGGCGTGGGGGGAGGGATGAGATGGGGTGAAAATTTGGAACTCAAAATCTTGTGGAAGTTGAAAACTAAAAATAAATAAATTTATTTAAAAAAAGAAAAAGAAAAAAAAAGAAGCACATCCAAGAATATATACAGTTTAGATATGGTAACCTTCATGTGGGAAAAAAGTTTGTTGCAAAAATTATAAATCTTTTCCATCTTTTGTTTGCTTATTATTTTTCTTCCAATTTCATTCTTAAAAGTCCCTCTGATTACTTTGCTTAATTGAGTTTCCTGATTTAAAAATATTGTTTTTCTTTCAAAAAAAAAGATAATAAAAAAATAAAATAAAATAAAATATAGAACATATACCCCTAAACATAAAGCTCTGGGGTTTACTGGAAAGAGCACTGGACGCAAAATCAACAGGTCTGAATCCAAGTCCTGGGTGGATAATCTTGGGTAAATCAACTAACCTGGGCCTTGGTTTGCTCACATGGAAAATTAGGGAGTTGGATGAAGATGACTGATAAGGTCTCTTGCTGCTCTGTGATGCTAGGTACTCACCAGCACCATTTCCATCCCTAGTACTGCTACTCTGCTAGCCTCATCTCCCTGTGTGCCTGTCCATTTTGAAATACCCCAACTTTCTTAGCCATAACCCTTAGCCTCATTTCTGGGATTTGCTTAGACTCCTGATACCAATATGAATGCTTGAAGATCAGGCGTACTACATAGATGGACTAAACAATTGCCTATACATTGCTATTTCAAGGGTATGGTAGGTTGTTCAGTCATTTTTCAGTCATGCCCTACTTTTTGTGACCCTATTTGGGGTTTTCTTGGCAAAGATACTGGAATGATTACCCATATCCTTCTCCATCTTATTTTACAGATGAGGAAACTGAGGCAAACAGGGTTAAGTGACTTGCCCAGGGTGACATAGCCAGTAAGTGTCTGAGGCCAAATTTGAATTCAGGAAGATGAGTCTTCCAGACTCCAGGCCTGGCACTCTATCCACTACCCCTTGAAGGGTATACAAAGATACCATATTAGGTCCCCCACGAACCTCAGCTTGACAGTGAAGGTGGGGATACTCTCTCCAAAAGTCACCATTACAATCTCCATGAATTACCTGGAAGCTAACCTTCTGAGTATCTCATATTGGTTCAGCAGCAGGATGTCATTTCTCACATTAACTCCCTGTCCCCTCAGTCACTCTTGGCCTGAAGTAGGCTTCTCAAGACCCCACTTATTGAATTAGAGCCAGGTAGGGTATATTGCCCATATTATGTATGATCCACTCGGGGCCTCAGACATCACCGGACCCTGTCCGTCCTCAGAAGTATTTGTTTCCGGTTACCCCCTTTCCCAATCTTCTCTCCTCGCTATCATCCCTTTACTCTCTTGTCCCCTTCCCCCCCATTTTCCTATAGGGTAGGACAGATTTCCATACCCAATTGAGTGTGTATGTTATTCCTTCCTTAAGTCAAATCCTATGAGAATAAGATTCACTCATTCCCTCTCCCCTTCCCCTGTTTCCCCTCTACTGTAAGAGCTTTTTCTTTTCTGTTTTTTTTTTTTGTGTGTGTGTGTGTGAGATAATTTACCCCACTCTACCTCTCCCTTTCTCCTTCTCCTAGTATAATCCTCTCTCAAATTTGAGTGTATGCTCCAAAGACTGGGCCCTCACCATTACAAAAACAAATACCTTTCTACCAAGAGAAGGGAGGAATGTTTCATTCTCAGTTCTCTGAGATCACAAATGGCCATTGCACTGATCCAAATTCAGGCATCTATAGCTGATGTTTCCCTTTCCATTATTGTGGTCATTATGCATATTGTTCTGATACTATTTATTTTGCTATACCACTTGGACCTTGAGGGAATAAGCTACAGGACAGATAAGTTTCTATTGTAACAGAAAGGATTCTAGACAGGGACTTAAGAGATCTGAGTCCTACTCATAGCCCTTCCTGAGTGACTTTGGGCAAGTAACTTGTATGGGCCTTCATTGTCTCAGATCTAAAACGAGAGGCTTGGAATAAGTGATTTTTAAGGTTTCTTCCAGTTTGAGCATTCTTTCTCATTCATTCATGAATGTGGCAAAGAAGAACATAGCTCCCCAGCAAGGTAACATAGAGGTGATCCAGAACCTGCAGTACACTGGAGGAGATGCCAAAAAAAAAGAAGGAAAAAGGCTCAGAAGACATAGCCTACTTTCCAGTTTTTGTCTAGGCAGATTTCTCTGGGGAGTAAACAGGTGTGACCTAGAAACTAGGGCACAGCACCATACTGAACCCTATGCCTCCCTTTGCACTGTGTATGAGCAGTGGAACACAAGAGGCATAAGATTGAGAGCTGGAAGGGGCCTCAGACATCACCTAGTCTAACCCTTCCATTTTACAGATGAGAATTTGAAGCCCTGATAGGAAAAGTGACTTGCCCAAAGTCACAAATAGCAGAGCAAGAATCTGAACTCCACCTCCCAAGCTCTTCTGTTGCTTAACACTGGGCAAGTATTATCTCCATCTCCATTTTACGAAGGAGAAAATTGAGGCTCTGGTGTATGATTTGAACCCAGGTTCTCTAACTCCTAAGCTCATACTTTATCCATTGTATTGGATAGAGTAGCTGCTACTTCTCTACGAGTTGCTTAGGAAGATGAGATTAACATACATCGAATAACCAGAGAGCAATATGAAATCATATATAATCAGATGCTAAGAGGATTACAATCACCTGGGGGTCAGGCAATTGGGACAGCATATGTGAAAGACTGACTTCTCTTGGGTTGTGAAAGATCAGGTGGAAGGTAAGGGGTACAAGAGTGCCTGGAGTCAGAAAGATCTAAGTTCGAATCTGGTCCCACCTCTGTCTGTCTCAGTTTTGATCATCTATAAAATGGGAATAATAATCATCCCCACCTTGCGGGGTTGTTGTGAGAATCAAATGTGATCATTTTTGTAAAGCACTTAGCATATTGCATTGTATATAGTAGGCACTGAATAAATATTCTTTCTCTTCTTCCTCTTTCCAGTAGGAAGGTGAAGGCAGATTAAAAGAAAGAAGACATTTCAGTCTGAGGGAGCAGAATGAACAAAGTCAGAAAAATGGAAAGAAATGCCCTGTGTGAGAAATAATGAGATAAGCCTGACAAGAACTCAGAGTTTGCATTAGGAAACGGTGAAGGGGAAAGTTGGATAGGCCGGGTGGGGCCAGATTACAGAAAGTCCCTAATTTAATGGGGAATGCAATGCAGATTTATCAATAAACAAGTCACTATCCGTGGCAGCGTTTTCAGTGGTTAGGTGGGACAGACTCAGTTTAAGTCTCTCCTTCTGCAAGAGGTCTTTCCAGGTCTCCCACAGGTGGTAGTGCCCTCCCCCTTTCATCTTAACTTCATCTACTCTCTGTCTATCTGGTATGTATCTAGTCACTTGCTTGTTTCCTTTAAAATATACACTCCTTGAGGGCAGGGACTGCGTTTTTGCCTTTCTCTTTATCCCAATGCTTACCTAGCACAGTGCCTGGAATATAGTAAGCACTTAGTAAATGCTTCTTGGCTAACTGTAATCTGGTGATGGATTGGCATGGGGACACACAAGACAAAGGAACCAATTAAAAGGGGAATAGTCTAGAGATGGGGTTGTAAAGGTCGGGAGTATGACAGGAACTAAAAGGAAGACCTAGATATGAGAGAAATACTTTGGAAGAAGAATGAATGAGACTTGGTGCCAAATTAAATATAGGGTGGGAAGAAAGAAAAGAGGACTCAAATGTCACCTCTCCCTCATCAAAAGGCAACTAGATCTTCAACCCAGTGACACTGACCTACTTGCAGTTCCTTGCACAAGAGACTCTGACTCTTGTGTATCTTCACTGGCACTCCACCGTGACTGGAAGGCTCTCCCCCTTATCTTTGCCTCTACCTTCCCTGGATTCCTTGAAATCCCACATTAAATCCCACATTTGACAGGTGGCCTTCCCATCTCTTAATTTCAATGACTTCCTTCTGTCAATAATTTCCTATTTATCCTGTTTGTTATAGGTTGTTTGTATGTACATAGTTGTTTATCTCCCCCATTAGCTTGTGAGCCTCTCAAGGGCAGAGACTATCTTTTGTCCTGTATATCCCTACAGTGTAAGGCACGTAGTAAGGATTTAATCTTTATTGATTGAATAACCCTTCTCCCCGTTGAAAGGAATCAGGTGTTGTTTTTTTTTAAGGCATTGTTTATTGGATGAGAGAGCTACCATGTGAAAACTCTAGAAAGCTCTTTTTTTAAGAAAAGCCGACTGTTTATATAAATGTACATATGTGCATGCGCTCTTTGGGGCAAAATGTTTCAAGGACCATATGTGCACAGGTGTCTGGGAGAATGGAAGGGGCTGGGGGTGGAGCTGTGCACACGTGTAAGAGAAAGTACAGCAAATTTCTGCGCCTGTGGCGGGTGCAGAGAGCTGTGGCCCGGTCCACAACCAGAGCAAGCATGGGGCGTTCTGCTATTTCTGCTGCGGCAGCAGCTGCGGCTTGTTCTGCTAAGAGGCTCAGGCGCGGCGCTGTGTGAGGCTCTCGCAGACCCAGTCAGTCTGCAAAAGCCCAACCCCAGACTGGTGCCTCACTCTCTCTTTTCCTCGTAATCCACCAGAGTAAGGAAGGACGCCTCTGGAAAGGAAACCTGGCCGCATCCTTTGCCCTGAGGCAGGCAGCCTGGAATGAGCCACTGCTGACATGTGCAGGATGTCTTTCAAGGTAAGCCCCCGCAGGGGCAGGAGGGAAGTGAAGGGTGCATCGCCCCGGCAGGAAAGCCAGGCATCTGGACTGACCCAGATAGGATGCTCTGGCGTCCTGGTCTCAGGCTGCGGCATCCTGGGGTGGGGGACCCGGAGTGCCTCTCACCCAGGAACTTCCTCCCCTTGACCTTGGGTTGCCAGTGCGGATGTGGATGCGGGAGCAGGTGCGGGCGCCTGCTGAGCATTTGAACAGAATGAAAGACAGCGCTCTCTACCCCTACCCCGCAACTGGCGGGGTGAGGAAGGAAATGATGGAGATGAAGGTTTGCGTCTAGTATGCGGTTTTCTTGTTTGGTTTGGTTCTGAAAGATCTTTCTTTTCTAAGTGAGCCGAGGATGGTGTGATAGAATAAATAGACACTGGCTGGGAATTAACAGGTCTTCAAACTGGGATATGAGAAAGAAGGCAGAAGAGACGGGGTGGGGGCCAGGGAGGGTTGAATGAAATAAGATTGTGGGAGGTCAGCTCTTTCTGACCAGGGCAGTCACGCGTCTCTCTGCAAGGACTACAGATTCCGAAACCAGTTTTCTCAGGCTTTGGTTTCTTTTTCACAAACCCGAATAGTGCTTGGCGACATCTGCACAAACATCTGCATACTCTCCTTCCTCGTTATTAGACTCTATTGACGAGCTGGGCCTCTGAAATTAGCAAAGTCTCAGATCGAATGACTCACTATAGCGTGAAACCATAGGTGGCTACCAGGATGCCAGGATTAAGGAGGAAACCATTTGGTTTATGAACTCAGCAGAGAATGTTTGGGGTATAATCTGACCTAACTCTCCTTGGAAATCGGGGGTCTTACTAAGATAAATCTACTTTTTTTCTTTTATAACTTCTACAGAGCCTTTTCTTTATTGCTCAGTAAATTGCAATCGTCTAAACATTTTTTTTTAATTTAACAAACTATCCATTTTGGCTTCTTGGATTATTAAAACTAGATTCTAAAATTTTATCTAATTTCCACATTTATCTAATTTCACTACCACCCCCTCCCTCAGACTTTGGCAATGTTCAGACATTGAAAATATTTCAAGCTCACAATTTTCTTTCTGTTTCTTACTTCTCCATTCTCATTCTGTATGCCAATTAAATGTGTATTAATAACATTTGTAACCTGAATCCCAAAAGTCTCCCTTGGAGAAGGGGGGTGGGGTGGGGTGGAGAAGACACTAGAGATGTCTATTCTGTTTCCCTTTAAGCCACACAACACCCCCATGCTACGTGTGGAAAGGCAGCTTTCCTACACATTCATATAGTGCTTCATACACAAAAACATCACTTTGATTACAATTCCATGAGGTGAGTAATGCATGATTATTACCATTTTAAAGAAGAGGAAAATGAGAGACAAAACCACCTGCCCAAGGTCAAAGAACTAGGAAGTGGCAGAATCAGAACCAGAACCCGTATCTGGATCCAATGTCTTTCCTCTATACTAGGATGCTTCTGCTTTATTAATTTGGGTTGGGGTTTTGGGGTTTTGTTTTTTTTTTTTAGCTATTCAGAGTATGTCAAAAGAGTGTCAACGTAGAGTAGTGGTTAGAGTTATACTTGATGGGGCAGCTAGGTGGTGCAGTGGATAGAGCACCGGCCCTGAATTCAGGAGGACCTGAGTTCAAATGTGGCCTTAGACACATAACACTTACTAGCTGTGTGACCCTGGGCAAGTCACTTAACCCCATTGCTTAGCCAAAAAAAATTTTTTAAAAATAGAGTTATACTTGAAACCAGAAAGACCTGGCTCAAGTTCTTCCCCTGACAAATGCTAGATATGTGTGACTCTAGGTTAAGTCACTTAACTTCATAATGCTTTAAATAAATCTCTAAAACTCTAAGTTACAGAAAGGGTGCTAACCTGCATTGATAGAGGGAGTTTCCCCAGCCAGGAACTTCCTTTATCCATGAAATCATATGTCTGTCAGGTTTCTATCCCCAATCCATCTATACCCCAATATAGTATGTATGATAAATTTTAATTTAATCATTTTAAATTATCCAAATTTAAATTTACAGTTGGAACTTAATGTTTTGCTTGATTTATATAAGCACCACATTTTGATTCTGTTTTATTTGGCTTAGTTTTTCATCCAGTCTTTGCATAAATAATGTATTTTGTCACATCACAGAATCTGAGTTGGAAGGAATCTCAGAGGCGAACTCATCCCATCCATCCCTCTAAAAATCACTTCCTATATGTTTAACATGATTGCACATGCATAACCTATATCAGATTGCTTGCTGTTTTAGGGAGTGGGGAAGGAAGGAAGAAAAAATTTGGAACTCAAAATCTTATAAAAAATGAATGTTGAAAACTATCTTTACATGGAGTTGGGGGGGAATGAAATACTATTTACATAAAAAATGAACAAGGGGAAATTGTAATGGAGAAGAAATAAAAAATAATAATCAGAAAAAAAGAATAAAAAATAAAAATCACCTCCACAATACCCATTTATCATTATTTATTTATCATCTGCTTACAGACTTTTTAATGAGAGACAGGTGACCCCATCCCATTGCACTTTTGGATGGCACTGATTTTTCAAGAGTTTTTCCTTAAATTGAGCCTTAGTGCCCATAAGCAACTTCCATCCACTACCAGCAGAGAACCAGCTCAGCCCCGCAAGGAGGAGCTAGCACATCGGATACTTGAAAGCAGCTACCATGTCCCCATTAAGCCATATCTTTTCCAAGCTAAATATCCCTGATTCCCTTAACTAATCCTTTTACAACTTGCTGCTAAGGTCCTTCACCCATCCTGAGCGTCCTTTTCTGGATACATTTCAAAAAGACATCTTTCTATGGGACCCAGAATGAAACAGTACTCTGGGTGTGGTCTAACTTAGGACAAAGGCTTTAGCAGAATTCAAACCTGGACACTAAGACTGAATTTGCAGAACACCATCCCCCATCATCTTTCTCACAGGAGTCACTGTCTAGCTCTTTCTCCCTCAGCCTGTAGTTGTGAAGTTAATTTATATAACCCCAATGTAGAGTTTTAGATTTATACTTATCATATTTTATTCAGTCTTATTTCATGTATCCATCAGTCTTACCTGGCAAGATCTTTTGGATTCGGACTCTGGCATCCAATACATCCTTTATCCCTGTAATCTGCGGATTTGACAAATGTGTCATTTAGGTGTTATTGTTGTTCAGTCATTCCAGTCATGTCCAACTCTTTGTGACCCCATTTAGGTTTTCTTTGTTTTTTGGTTTTGGTTTGGGTTTGGGTTTGGGTTTGGGTTTTGGGTTTTTTTTTTGTTTGTTTTTTCCTTTTTTGGTTAGGCAGTGGGGTTAAGTGACTTGCCCAGGGTCACATAGCTAATAAGTGTCAAGTGTTTGGTCTGAGACCAGATTTGAACTCAGGTCCTCCTAAATCCAGGTGCTCTATCCACTGTGCCACCTAGCTGCCCCGCCCCATTTAGGTTTTCTTGGCAAAGACACTGGAGTGGTCTGCCAATTTCTTCTCCAGCTCGTTTTCCACCTAAGGAAATTGAGTCAAACAAGGTTAAGTGACTTACCCAGAGTCACACAGCTAGTAAGTGTCTGAAACCAGATTTGAACTCAGGAAACTAGGAGGTGCAGTGGATAGAGTGTCATGCCAGAAATTAGGAAGACCCCTCTTATTGAGTTCAAATCTGGCCTCAGACACTTATCAGCTATGTGACCATGGACAAGTCACTTAATCCTGTTTGCCTCAGTTTCCTCATCTGTAAAATGAGCTAGAGAAGGAAATGGCAAACCACTCGTTTCCTTGCCAAGAGAACCTCAGAAAGGGTCACAAAGAATTGGACAAGACTAAAAAAAGACTAAGCAACAACAAAACTTTCTGACTCCAGGTCCGGAGCTCTACCTACCATGCCACCTAGCTGCCCTGTCATTTATATCTTCATCCAATCATTGATAAAAGTTTTGAAGAGTACAAGACGGTGAACAAATGCCTGAGGCACTCTACTACAGACCTTCCTCTGAGTTGGCATTGACCCTTGAACAACTACCCTTTGAGTGTAGACATAAGTCCTGTCCAGGTCATCCTACATGTACAGTCCATATCCTAGCATTTTATTCACAAGCATAGCATGAGAAACTATTTTGCTGACATTTGAGTACTTTTTATTTATTGCACTGCCTTGATCTATCTCTCCAATTAGCTTGTCAAAAAAATTAGTTTAATCTGTAATGACTTGTTCTTAATGAATGTAGCTAATCAAAAGCTATCTGTAGCAAACTGTTAATTCCAGGCTGGTTCTCACCCACTGGGCTGCTAGATCACCTCATCTACTGGAGTCATTGTGAATGATTTTGCAAGGAATGCGAAATCTCTTTAATACTAACTTGAAGAAAATAAAAGGATCTTGTGAAACACTGCATGATACATTTTAAAGCCAATGAGAAATGTCTTTTGGATTATACGTACTATAATTTTCTTCCAATTACATAAATTATTGAGTTGATGTTGCTTTGCAAAACTGTTTTTAGACCACCTTAAATCTAATTCATTTTCTTAATTCTGCCTCCATATCAACTCTTGCATCTCATCACTGCTCTCCATTCATATGGTCACCTCCACTCCTATGTATGGTCACTACCTTCATCTCTCTCCCCGTGGACTACTGAAGTATCCTCCTCATTGATCTCCCTGCTTTAAGTCTCTCCTATCTATAATTCATCCTCCACATAATTACCAAAATTATATTTTCCTTATGTTATCCCCCCACTCGAAAATCTCAATAAACAAAATGTAGTGGCACTCTATTGTTTCTAGGATCAAACACAAACTTCTCTGTTTAACATTTAACAACCCGGCTCCAGTCTACCTTCCCAGGCTCATCATGTACTGTCCTATTCCCTCTCACACTGTTTATGGGCCAAACCTGGCCATCTTGCTGTTTCTCACTCCTGACATCTCTGGCATGAACGAACTCTCTCCTCATTTCTTTCTCTTAGAATTCCTTG